TCAGCCTGCTGAAAGATCAGAGTTGCAATCTGTAGTTTTAAAACATAGACAGTTGATTAAAACAGATTTGTTACAAATAACTTTAACCAGAATTAACTACGGGTACAGTGTAAAAGAGGCCAGTTTTCCAAGTAGTGGTTTGGAGAAATACCATATATACTTCTAATAAGGAGGGAAGCGTTGAACATCATCAGGAAAGGAGCGGAATGGCGTGGGTTTTATTTAGGAATGGAAATTTGGTCTATTTCTTTGGTCTGTGTTGTGGAGGATTGGAAAATAAGAGATATTCTAGAGGATACAGTTCCAATATTTAAGAGAAAACGAGGTGAAAGTCTGTGAGTTGACTCCTATCACAGCTGAAAGCGAGACAACAATATCTATACCAGTTATTATTGAGGAATATTGCTCAGATTAAATATTGCTAATGAATCAGCAAATAACAAAGAAATGAAGGAATAGCAATTACTTAGGATGATAACAGAGTAAGCAGGCACCGAGAATACACCAAAACTAAGTAGGTAATAATTGGGAAGACAGCCCTATTTCATAATACTAACATGTCATGTTGCAGCCCTAAAAAAAAAAAAAAAAAAAAAGGCATGGTTTTGTATTATTAGGTGACAGAGTTAACCTCACGTAATTTAACAAATGGAAAGAGAAAGATCCAGATCACTAGACACCTATTAATCCAACTTTAGTAGTCTTACTAAGCTTTTGAAGAAATGAAGGAAAGAGTAATCAAATACCTGGAAGTAAATGGAAGGTAGCATAAAATGCTGCAGATATTTATCAACAGTCGATTGTTCAGGATTAACCTGATCTCCTTCTCTGATAAGCACAGTAGTTTTTTCTCAGACAGGAGAAATACAATAGATCTAGTTTGTCAGATGTCAATAAAACATTTGATATACTGTAATGTTGGAAGTTATTAGCTAAACCAGGGAAGATGGGATTTAAGGGATGAGCTGCAAAGTGAGTTGTGAACTGGCAAATGGAATTGCCTCACAACTTATACTGATGGGTTAACAGCTGCCTGAGAGATTAGAGTTGCTCAGAGATCAGTGCCAGAGCTGTTCCTGTTTAATGCTTTGACCTTGGTTCAAAATTAGGAATATCTTGACGAAATGTGCTGATGATACACATTCAGCCTAGTAAAATAAGCAGAAAGATTTGGATGACACCATGGAAGTTAATAGTACAGAGTAATGCTGTTAACAGCAATAACAAGAATTTCAGTATAAAGGTGGAGCTCGTTGGTTGCAAGTGACCGAATAGAAGGATGGGAAAGTACTGAAGGTATTTAATGTATTAAGCAATCTCAGGATGACTCTGAGCCACTATTCTGAGGCAGTCAGGAAAATGCTATGTATCAAGCAAAATAATTTCAGTAGAGAAATACAAAAATGTTGATCAACTCTGAAATCACAAAACAATCCTAAGACCTCCTCCAGAATACTCATTAGATCACAAGTGCAAGTGGGAACAGAGCTACAAGGAAGAACAAAAATAGAAAATCTATTTTCCAACAGAAGACTTGTTTTCATAAAAATACAGACTGAGAGAAGTTATGATTGCTCTCTACAGAGTCATCAGATGTAAATCCCAAAGAAGAACAAAAGTTGTTTAAGACACAAGTCAATGTTACTACATAAAATAACAACCAAAACAGCATCTGTAAACTCTCTATGGATAAATTTTGGGGTGGAAATTAAAAGAAAGTGTATCACACTTGAAGGAATGAGGTTCTAGACCCGCCTTTCAGAAGGAGCCGTAGAGTAAGAAAGTTCTCAACATGGAGTCAGCAAGATTTTGTAAGCAGCAGTACTGTCCACAATGGGACGGGACATAACCCGGTCACTAGGAGCTTAGTTCCAATTCTCTGTTTTGTAGCAGCTTCTAACTTCAGAGCCTGGTTCAGGAGGGAAGTGCAGTTTTGAAGTTATTTTTTTCTTTATGTAACGCAGCCTTATTCCTAAAAGGAGACTGAAGAATGGAATTGCCTAGAAACATAGTCTTTTAATATAAATGAGCTGCAAATAGGGCGTGCGTTGGTTTTGAGTGTATACATTTTGTGTATATGCTAAATTACAAGCATAGATAAACAATATGATTGCATATGCTTAAATAATTTTAAAAATACAAATTTCTTAGCAAGATGTATACTGAAATACATAGGCAAGGTACCTTCTTTCTTACCAGTATTCGTACCTTACCATCACTCTATGGCAAGAGAAGTGTTTAAAAGATAATGGAGTTTACAGTTCAAAATTATATTCCTCTTGATACCTATACTGAATTCAAAAGGGGGGTTTTGTAATTTTTACATTCTGGTTACCTAAAATTTCCTGAAGACTCTATTACAGTGGGTAAGGTTTGTCCTAAAAGTGGACAGATGAGCAGCACATTATGCTACAGAAGTTTGCTAATGGATTTAATAGAAAATAAATCTTACAATTCTATCCAATAAAATAAACTAGAAGGAAACTTAGGATGGAGGGAGGACTTAAGGAAATGATCCTACAGTCTGATTGATACTCCAGTTAGCACTAATATTAAGATATTATTTACTTCTTATTTCTAACTACATCATATTGAGAACAGGGAAAAGGAAATGAGTAAAAAAGAAATTTTGCAGATGCAGACTGGGCTAGGCCAACCATCATACTAGAGGTATAAAATGAACATCATGGAGTTTGCTGAATACCTCTGTTTTTATGACTTCATATGCTCCATTAAATGACACAGATAAATATCTGGTTTTCATATTTTGCTAGATTAAGTAATTTACCTCAGTTATATAGTCAATAATGCAGTATCTTTACTAGTAATGCTACAATAAAAGTAGGTTATACCGCACTAAAATGTGAAGCTATAGTTCCTGGCATTACATGTGAAACTTCATATAAATAGCTGGCGAAATTCACATAGAAAAATGTTTAGTCTGGTCATTGGAAAAATACTTCTAAAGTAACGTATGTTCAAATGTAAATGAAGAAGAAAATACATCAAAAGCAGTTATTTTGAAAGGCTGGAAAAAATACAAAACCGTGTTCAGATTTAGGAACTTTTGTAGATGTTTATATCCTTGAATAAAAGTTACTTTTAAGAGATTATTTTTGAAATGTCACTGCTCTCTGCTTTCTCTACTCTTGTACCCACCAGCTATGGATTCATATAAATTTTAAGTTGTTTGGATGCTTAGAAATGCGCTATTATATGCTCTTGGTTTTCTTCTGCGGTGTTGAGAACACAACAGAAAGTCATCACCTATTAGCTGAATAGCAGTAATCAGCTCTATCTGTGCATTTAACCTGCCACACTTACAAAACTAAATGAATTCACTTAAACCATGTTGAAAACATAATTTATTGAACTGTGATAATTGCCTCGGGTAGTCTCAATGTATTTTACTGTGAAAACAAGAATTTTAAATGCTTTGTTTCTTGCTTTAGAAGAGCATTTCTTTAAGCACTATTTTTAACCAAGCCAGTGTTTTCTGATCTTTTTGAAAGAGAAAGAATGGGTAGCCTTGAATACTAAAGGCTGATATAGGATGCAAGACATCTATGTTGTTGTGTATATTCTGAGATACTTGTACTGGCATGTATGAAACCCAAAATCTTCTATAAATGTGAGTACACAATGTTCAAGTCTCTAATACATATCATGACATAGGTTATTCTTGGTAGTTGAGTCATATATGCCAATGCTGTTAGTTGGAACTTGAGGAGATATGAGACTAGAAGCCTATGGGGGTTCACCCATACACTTTCAGTTTCAATAAATTGGTACATAGGAAAGAAAAGCTGTCCTTGGGTGTTATTTAATAGAGTATTGCTAACAATCACAGGAATACGATGAACTAAGATCAATCTTGGAGGTAGGCATACTTAATTACAAATTAAGTATGCATTTATGAAAATACTTTAATTTGTTTGTCTAACAGAGGGTCTCCTAATTTTTATTTTTAATGTCATAATAAAAAAGTGTAGTTCATAAATTAGATTTGGCCAACTTAACATGAAAGAAAAGCTCCTTTAGTTCTTGATCAAAAATGCAGAGCCTGTACTGAATCTTGACTGTAACGAATTTAATAAGAAAAAAAAAGATTCTTTGAAATGATATTTCAAAGCCCTCTCAAAGAAAAGAAATTTAATAGTTTCAAAGGTGAAAGTACATGGTGATTCCCATTTTTAACTATCTTTGATAAAAAAGAAACTGGTTATACTCAAATCTTTGAAATCACATTTAGATAGTATTTTGAACAAGAAATAGATGTTCTGCTATAACTTGGTTTTTGCTGTTCCACTTTTTCTTTTGCATTCCTTCTACTGTCCAGCAACAGTGTAGCTGGAGAAGAAAAGCAGGTGGGTGGGAGAAAGGTGAACAAGACTTGCCACAAATCCCTGGGAATAAAAAACTTTTACAGCTTTTATACCGAAGCCTATTGTTTGTTTTAATGATGCAGCGTTAGTAATTTCCATCCTAGCCAGCAGGCAGTCTGCCTTCACTTTATCCCATTGCTGGCAACAGAAGGATAAATAGCAACTCACTGGCATTCTTTCTTTAAGTTTCAGTCACTTTTGGGACTGGAATCCTTGAGGCGTGACACCACCTGCACAGCAGGAGGAGGTGTGACCTGTCATTTTTGTGTTTTGACAGCTAGGTACCAGTCATACATAGTTTAGAACTGTAATTTATGACGGGTGAATGTATTCCACCTTCATTGTGCTTCTTTGCTGTTTGTAAAAGGGCTACAGCAGAGCCTCGATGAATCTTCTTTTGTGCAGTTGTGTGTTCAGGTATAAATTCTGTTAATCTGCCTGAAATAACAAGGATTAATTACCAGGAAAGGACATGATACACTGCTTGGGCAGCTCACAATTTACCTGTGTGTAAATCTTGATGCTCATTTAGGTTTTTCTTTCTGTCTTTGCATCTCGTCCTGACAGGTGTGTGCCCAATCACTGTGAACACGGTGGCAAATGCACCCAGACGTGGGACAGCTTCAAGTGCACTTGTGATGGAACTGGATACAGTGGCGCCACTTGTCATAACTGTAAGCCATCCTGCAGTTTCAAAATTGCAACAGAGTAGGGAAGACACTGATGTCTTTCGGTTGAGATAAAAAGTCAGTCTTCCTCTCTGGTTGTTAAAGATCCTGAAACCTTTTTTGAAAGGAGGTGTTGGCTTAATTGTACTCCACCTTATCTACATAGGGATGTATTTATATAGCACTGCGCTGCACCATGCAAGGGACCAAAGCAGTACAGCTGTCCTAGTTGTGTGTACTGCGCGAACACATTCTCAGCAATTGCACGTTAGAGTTTCAGATGGACACAGTGAATCTGCCCTAAGCTGTTGGGGAGAGCTGCTGACCGCTGCTAGAGAGACGCTTGTTCAGGTTGCTAATCCTGAAGCGTGTTTAGATACTGATTATTGGCCATTCTAAAATCAAATTGTTTACTCTGTTGTTGGGAGTTTCTCAAATAAGATTATTTCCTATGAGCTTCACATGCCCTACACTATTAAAACACAGAAAGGAGAGAAAAAGGTAGAGTTGTTCTTTTTATAGGTTCTGAACAACGTATGCAGAGTCAGCAGCATGTGTCTTCTGTTCTTTCTATTGTATGCTACAAGTGGGATTTTCATCTGTGAAGTGTATTCTAAAATATCTAGAAGGTGCAGAAAACATATGCAGTCCTTACTTTTCTCCCTTTTTTCTTTAGCAAGCAACCTCTTAATATTGAGGGGAGAGTAAAAATGCTTCTGAACAGGTGAAAAGTTAAAATTGAAGCCAGGATTTATACAGATATAAATTTATATTACTTTACTATTCACTTTAACTACAGCTGTGTAAAATTTTATGAAGATAATTGCAGAATTCTTTCACTTTTAACCAAAAAAACCCAAACCAATGAGAAAATTTTGACAATTCACAGTTGTCTGAATTTCAACAAAAACCTATTCTATTTTTAAACATTGTGTTAATGTAAGAGGGAATGTATTTTATAAAATAACTATTAATACATATATATGTATTGAATGGCAAAGTTCTCCATGGTCTGGCTACTGAACTGGTAAAACTGAAAGAATTAAATGGCAAATGAATGTTTATTAAAGAGAGATATTTAAAGTACCTGTGCTTGGAGGAGAAATTTCATGGGCAGCCCTTTTTCCGCCAAGAGTGAATGTGCATAGTGATGGTGTGGTTGCATCTCATCTTGGGAAGGAAAACGTGGAATTTACAGGGATGTAGTATTTCAGTGAAACAGAGAAAAAACTTTCATATATTTCTCTGAAAGTATAGTATTTTTAGAGCTTTGGCTGATCTATTACAGCCACTGGAAAAAGATGATTCCTACGCATATGATAGGCTGTTAGGAAGTTGAAATGCAGAAATGCAGGGATGGAAACTCAGTTAAGTAAGTATGTTTTATCTAGTGAGCCTCTGAAAATAAGTATAATCTGTCGGAGGAAAAGGTATCGTGCTAGATCCAACAGCCCACCAGAGGTGAGACTGCTGCAGCTGCATTCCCCCACGTCCAACCAGTAGCGAGGCTGTAAATGTATTCCTGGTAGGCATGTGGCCACAGGCCCCATATACACCACATATACATATATACATAGCTGGCCGTACACATCATAGACGGAGCATGCACATGAACACAGCACCAACGGCCTCATCCTCCTCCCCTCTCTGGCTGAGCAGGATGCCTGTCCACCAGTGAGAACAGTGAACATCCGTATCCACACAGGGTGGATCCCTCCCGCGGCTCAGCTCAGGCACTCAGTCAGCCCAGCGGCTGGCCTTGGATCCCAGACTCCTCAGTTGCTGATGCCTGGACATAGGATGGCCCGGCAGGGTATTATTTGGGCTCCCCCTCCTGCCATTGTCGGTCTGTGCTCCTTCGTGGGTATGCAGATGAGCTTTTAATGCATAACCTAACATAGTTTAGTTCTCCTTGAGTCCCAAAGAGAAGTAGCAAGGACAAATGGATGGCATCACTTTTCTGAAATCACATTTATTAGAAAGGAAAGAAATAATAATCCAAGGAGCTGTAAACATTTGTCTTAATAGGATTTTCACCTGCCTTTTATGGATAAAACAGTGCAATAAGGGAAGTAAAAGGCACTGCTGGACTGTAAAGGGGGACTTGGAGTGTATTGTCCCATCTTTAGCTGTGGAATGTATAAAGTGTATGGGATTAGAGCTGTCCAGGTCATTTGGAGACACATTGTTCAAGAACCTTTACTTTTCTAATTCAGGCAAAGTTTCTAACTTAGATGGCTAAGCTTTTGTTTTGTTCCATTTTTGTGTTTAAAGACCATAATTTTAGTTTTTACCGTGTATGTTGCTATACTTTTAGAAGTCTTTCTTACAAAACGGGTGTGAGCAAAAAGTTATTTACTTAATAGATATCCTGTCAGAGTATGTGAAGTCTTATGCCTTTCTAGAGTATAGAATTTAATGGCACAAAAATGAGTGAAAACCAAAAATTACAGCATCAAGCTATAGACTGAGACAACCTTAACTCTGCCTTTATTGAGCAGGCAGTAGCTATCAATATTTACAAGAACATGTTCCAGCTGTGTTCACAGTATTAAGTATAGCTGCAAATAATGAAGGGTTTGTTGAAGCTTGCCAAAGGTTGTGGTTATACTGTCCTGAGGTCTGGGGCCTCAGCTCTGCTACGATGATACTGACCCTATCTGTCTTTTCCTACTTGTGCAGTGTGTGTGTGTACTCAGGCATGCTTGGTGTGCTGCCTTTTGCTTTTGAGTTCTAAGGTTTGTGGCAATAGCAGTACAAAAGAGATGCTGGGGGAGGAGGGAAGTTGGAGTGATAGCTGGTGTGTGGTATAAAATTAGCTGAAAGCAATTTTAAACAACATTGTGGGTTGTATGAAAGGCTGTAAAATTTAGCAGACGTCATGATTCCATGGAGCAGGAAAGTGTTTAAGTGCAGATAGCACTTGTTCAGTACCATTTTACTTAAATATAAGATTATTTTACAAAACAAATGGTATTATACTCTACAGTAAAATATATATGTCTTTTCTCAGTGTATGTTTGTGCAGTGGGTGTAACAGGGCATTTCTCAAAGAGGTTGGAGTCAAGACTATGTTAGTGGGGATTGTAACTCCATCGCTGATGACTTTAATGAGTTTGAGTTTTGCTGAACTTAAAGGAACAAGACAATTCTGTGTTACTGGAGGGGGGGTTTTCAGTGAATTGATTTTGCTTTAGTCAGGGAATTCAACACTTTCCTGAGTTTTTGACCTGAAACAAGGCAAGGCTTTGCAGCCTTGACTGAATTTCAGACCACAGTTTTAGGTTCCTTTGAAGCTGAAATTCAGAGACAAACTCAAGGGATGAGCTCCTTGAAGTGAAACGGAGAAAAATGTTTGCATGAAATCCTTGTGAATCAAAATGGCTTTGTTTCACACAGGTCTGGTCATAACTATAGTATGACAGTGAAAGCAACAGTTAGTCTAGAGAGATGGAGAAATATGTATTCTGGGGCTGAGACATAGTAGAAACTATAAACTGAAAATAAACAGAAACAGAAGGAAAAATTTCAAATAAATAAATCTGAAATAAGAACTTAAATTCTTATTATCTAATTGTGTAAATCAATTCCGTACATTTGCCATTTTAAGATCATGAAATAATTCACTTTTCAGAGTAGGACTTTGTTACAGGAAGGCTCTTCTTCTTTCGAAGACACACCAAAATCTCCAAGCTCTGTGTCCACTATCTTGTTATTTGTCAGAGGCTTAAGCTGCCATTCATACACAGAAAAAGATGTCTCTACTGCACCATCATTTGTTTCATCCAGCTACAGCTGGGTCCCTGGAGCTCTATGGTGAATTAACCAAAAATACTGGAAAGTTGTATCTCTGATTGCATGGTAAATACCCTAGAAACCTGCCAGATCTCTTTTGGCAAACAGATACTGCCCAAGGGAATGCTGTGGCCTGGAAAATATCAGACTAGAGCATCGATTTTATCATTAGACAAGACTAAAAGATAAATTAATGTATTTACTTAAAAACAATGATTTACAGCAATGAAGCAGTTACAAAATTATTTTAAAATTAATTATTAGGGTTATAATTAACAATAAGTATCATCCTTACTAGGTTTATTGTATCAGCTATATTTTAATCCCCAACAAATTAACCTTTACAGCCTACCAAAGGCTGACCCGTTGTGCAGAGTTCTTAGAGTCATATTTTTGCAGAGTCTATTAGTAAATAGTTCCTGGAGCCTTTGAGAACAGGAGCTCATTTTCCTTGTTACTTCTCATCTCCATCATGATCTTCAGGTAACACCACTCTGCTGCACTTTGTGCGAGTTATACATCTAGTTTTAGGCTCTAATGTGCTTCCTGCTGTTTACAGCTTCTTTAAAACAGAGTGGTATAAATTTACAAATCATGTATTGGGATAAATAATGATCATTCAAGCTTCTTTGTCTCAGATTTTTAATATATAGCTCAATGCATGCTTTCTCTAGGGTCTGCATGTAAGAGAAACACAATGAAGGATTTACTGACAGGGACCATGACTATGATGTATCTACCTACCACCTCCTGCACAAACTTTGTTAGATTTAGGAAAAAGCCAGGAGAACCTAGTTCGATCATATTTGCCTTCTCCTAATGATTGCCAGTAGCAAAAAAGTCCAATTTGCACTTAAAAGATTAATCTTAATTATACCCATTTTTACTCATACGAGAGACAAGTTCTGTTCTTCTTTAATTTCACCTTCAAACAAACACTGTCCTTACTTTTACAAGTGTACAGCCCCCATTCCTTCAAGTATATTGGTCAGGAAAGGGTTTGCTTATAAATCTTCAGTTATTCCATAGGACGGACTAACATCCAGCTCACAATCTGTTGCCTGTTAGTTCTGTAAAAGCAATAAGAGAAATACAACCTTACATACTTCTGTCACTAGAAGAGGCATTAATTGCATTGGAATATACAGAGAATGCAACTCTGTTGAGAAAGAACATACACAGTTTTTACAATTTTAGATTGGCAATGTGCT